AGCGCCCGGCCCTGCTCCCAAAGGGAATTCTGCTTCGTATTTCTCGCTTAAAACTGAGGATTCGGAGTCCTTAACTTATGGTTTATTGCTTTGAGTTTGTAGCTGATGGTTTATTGCTCAGAGGTTCTAGTTTATCACTGTAGTAATAAAATGAGCCGCGAGCAGTTACCCACCATGGGGCTCCTGTAGCACCTAATGGCTTGTTGTGATCACAGGATCCGACTGGTTGGGGTGGGAAGGGACCTTAAAGCCCCCCCAGTGCCACCCCCTGGCCTGGGCAGGGACACCTCCCACCACACCAGGTTGCTCCAAGCCCCCTCCAACCTGCCCTTGGGAGCGGGTCCAGAGAAGGGCAACAAAGATGGTGAGGGGTCTGGAGAATAAGTCTTATGAGGAGAGGCTGAGGGAACTGGGGTTATTCAGCCTGGAGAAGAGGAGGCTGAGGGGAGACCTTATTGCTCTCTGCAACTCCCTGAAAGGAGGGTGTAGAGAGATGGGGGTCGGTCTCTTTTCTCAAGTCCCAGGCAACAGGACAAGAGGAAATGGCCTCAAGTTGCACCAGGGGAGGTTCAGGCTGGATATTAGGAAAAATTTTGTCACTGAAAGGGTTCTCAGCCCTTGGAATGGGCTGCCCAGGGAGGTGGTTGAGGCCCCATCCCTGGAGGTGTTCAAAAGCCGGGTTGATGTAGTGCTGGGAGGTCTGGTTTAGTGATGATGCTCCTTGTTTGTTGTGCGGGTGTCTATTTTTGTCAAAGTGAGGTTGACGGTTGGACAAGATGATCTTTAAGGTCCCTTCCAACCTGGAAGATTCTGTGATTCTGTGAGATTCTGTGTGTGTCTCCCCAGAGCGGGACAGAGGGGCACAATCCCCCCCCTCCCCTCAGGCTCTACCCCCCCACCCCAACTCCCCTCAGGCGCTGGGGCCCCGCCCTGCGCGGGAAGCGGGGGGGTCGCAATGCGCATGCGCGGTGCCGCTGCCGCCGTTGCCGCCCGCCGCCGCCGTCCCGTCGTGCCCCGCGCGCAGGCAGGGGGGCGGGCTCTCCTCCACACAAAGGCGCAGCGCTGGGAAAATGGCGGCCACGGCGGCGGTAGCGGCGGCTTCGGAAAACGCCGGCGGTAAAATGGAGGAGCCGGCGGCGGGGGCGGCAGCAGCAGCGGCCTCCGCGGCGGCGACGGCAGCAGCGGCGGCTCCGCCACCGCCTAACGGGGCAGGCGGTGCCGGGGATGCGCCACCCAAGAGGTAGGGTGGCCGCCGGTGTGGGCCGCGCCGCCGCCTGGGCCTGCCGCGCCGCGTGCGGCCTTCGCCGGCCCGGCCTCAGCCCGGCCGAGGGGGGACCTGGGGCCGCCGCCGCTCCTCTGAGGAGACCGGGACTGGGCTCAGGGTCGCTACCGCGGCGAGGGCCGCTTCTCGGCTCCAGGCGCGGCCCGGTAGGCCGGACAGGGCCTACCCGCTGCGGCGTGGAGGTTGGCGGGCGCGCAGCCGCCTCGGGAAGGCGCGTCCCGGGGCTCCCGCCGTCTGAGGCCGGAGCGGGGAAGGAGCCGGTCCCTCGGCCTGGTGCTTTGTGCACCGCGCAGACCCCGCTGTAGGTCGACCAGGGGGATTTTTGCCTATCCCGCTAAGGAAGCGTTTCTCCTGGGCCTTAGTGGAGAACTTAAAACTTCCCCTAGAGGTATAGGGTGTGCCGGCGGGGTGGGGTTTGATGTGCGAAGTCAATTACTTTTAATTGTGTCAATGATAGGTTGTAAGAGTTGGGTGTTTCTCAGACAGTCGTCTCTAATATTCTTGCAACATTTGGAGTAAGGTATGCTCCGTTTGGTGGTTGATGACTTCCCTCTGGAGCACGTTAGGAACAGGAGAGTCAAACGCCTGGAGAGTGAGGGCTTGAAGGTGATGGCAGGTGCTAAGTCAGGGTTGCGTGTCTGATGTCAGTAGAATGTTACAGAAACTTAAAAAAAAAAAAATCTACAGGAAATATATTAAGGTAAAAGGTCCATAAATGTGGGGATGATAAGCAGGAAAAGTTTGAGGTGCTTGTCACTTTGCTATGCTGATGCTAACCTTGCTTTGGAAAATTCCATCATTAGCAAAGCTTTTTTTTTAATGCCAAATCTGTGGAATAAAGAACACTTTTTCTTCTGTTAATTTCTGGCCGCAGGCCTTAAACGCTGTGGAGATAAGAATCGGCATTTTGAACCTCACGTTCTGTGAGTAATGTTTCAGACGTGAGGTGAGATGTGTTTATCTGCTCTTCCTGAGGTGTGTTCTGTAGTCGTGTGTCAGCCAAGTTGCCGGTCGCTGCAGGCTGTTGTGCCCAGGCATGTTGCATAGCTGCAGCCTGACCCAGAGCTGACAAATCTGAAGAACAGAGGCCAGCTTGATGGTCTGTAGTTAATTGGAGATAATACGGATATGGTGAAGAGATGGTGATGTGTCTCAATTTGAAAAACCACTCTCATCTGCCTCTGCTGCCTGAGTTTGTGGATTGTGTTTCACATGATCGGGAAGGAAGTCACCTTTTTTGGGGGGGAAAAAAGTCCATATCTATTTTTTTTCCAACACAAAACAATGAAACTGTGCTTATTGCAACTAAAAAATTATCTATATATGTGACTCTTTCTGAAAAATTATCTATATATGTGACTCTTTCTGTCTGTGTCCTGCCAGGCAGGAACAGATGTGCCTGTTCAGGAGTGGAAATAATCCTGATTCTGGAGGGTGGGGGTCCCAGTCCCACCATGGCACCCAATACAGCAACAGGGCTAGGGAAGGATCTTTCCCATCATATTCTCTCCTTCTCATGTTGGGTATTTGTTGCATTGAAGATGTTCATGTCTTAAGATTCTGTTTATACCTCAAAGCTTGCTCATGGTAACTGTAGCAGAGCAGGCAGCTCTAGATAATAATGTAATCAGTAATTTGTCTTATATGGGTAGACGATTTATTCCTGGAATTATAAGTAGAAATGTCTACTTTGTTCTGATTTTTTTTTTTTTTCCCCTGACCTTCTTTATAATTGGAGTTTCTCCAGAGAGCTTATCTTTTTATCTAGGTGCAATTCTGTGTGCAATATCGACCTCCATGTGGCAAAGCTGACACAGCCACAGCGATGAGTGCCAACGTTCACGTGAACGTATTTTCAGCTGGGCTGGGGGAAAGAGGGATCTGTCTGTCCTAGATCTTGATTCTTAGCAATTTCTGGTACACTTTTTGGGCCTAGGTGCCACATTTATGAAGTCTTGCAGAGGAATGTGCATAATAGTTTGTTTCTTTGGGGGAAATAAGAGCTTCTCTTTCAGTTCCTCCTTCTACACACATCACAAACGGGATAATTTTTCCTTAATCTTTATAAAGCATTTCAGTTCTGTAACCCAAGGGAAAAAAAAAAAAAACAAAACAGAGAAGATGAAGTATCTTCTGAAAGTAACTACTTGGGTGTATTATTTTTTGTGGATCTTGTGTTAGCCTTGGTGGAAATGGATCATAGTTACTTAGAGTGGATTCTTACTGGGATGGGCAAAGCTGCTGGGGGAATTTTATCCCACCTGCATTTCCAACTTAGGGATACTCTCAGGTGGGGTTGGTGTATTTTAGAGGTGATGTGGGGCTCCTTCCTTCCTGCTGTCTAGAACTCTTTTAAAAGAAACCCTCCATGCTCAGCTGTTCCCCTACTTGGTAACCACATCTTTTAAGTGATCTCTGTGGACCTGGGCTTGTCTGTGCTTGTCCTTTTGGTGTGTGAAACCCATGGAGGTGGGGTCTGAAAACCCATATAAGGAAAAAGAAAAACCACAAAACTTTGCAGCTAAAGTAGTTCCCTTGACATTTCTTTTGACCTGGCTGAATTTGTTAAGAAAAGGACTATTTTCTAGGCTAATGCTTGCCTTTAATGGCAGGTGCTGTGGCTTTGAGTTCTTCACAGATTTATCAAAGCTTGAGGTGTTTTTAAGCTGCCAGATTGCAAAAAATATCTGCATCGTACCACATTACTTCAAAGCATGTTATACAGCGGTTCAACCCAGAGGAAATGTAAATAGTTCCAGTTTGAGGAGTAACTATAAAAAAAAAATGGGTGTAGCTTTTAGCATAAGTGCTAAATTTTGTGTTATTTCTTCAGCCAAACAGAAGTTAAGGTGTTCAAAGGATTGCCCTACTTTGAATCTATTTTTGGGTTTTTAATTACTTCTTTACTCAAGAAACTTTAAAAAAGTTCAGTGAGGGGAAGTCTAAAAAGGAAATTTTTTAATGAAATAAATGTTGGACGTAACTAAAGCACGCTTTTTTTTTTTATGGACCTCTTTTCCATACTGGCCATACGTAGAGCTGTATCTATAAAGTATAATATTTTTGTGTGGTTTTCAGCCTTGTGGCTGAAAAAGCAGAGGCTGCTATGTAATAAAAATAGGGGAACCCACTCAAATGTAGAATCTTGGCCCTTGTGGCCAAGAAGGCCAATGGCACCAGCAACAGTGTCACCAGGAGGTGGAGGGAGGTCATCCTGCCCCTCTGCTCTGCCCTGGGGAGGCCACAGCTGGAGCACTGGGACCAGTGCTGGGCTCCCCAGTTCCAGAAGGACAGGGAACTGCTGAGAGGGGACAGCAGAGGGCTACAAAGATGATGAGGGGCTGAGGGACTTTGGGTCTTTTTAGTCTGGAGAAGAGAAGGCTGAGGGGGGATCTGACCAACACCTATAAATACTGAAAGGGTGGGTGTCAGGAGGATGGGGCCAGGCTTTTTTCAGTGGTGCCCAGGGACAGGACAAGAGGAAACGGGCACAAACTTGACCATGGGAAGTTCCATCTAAACATGAGGAGGAACTTCTTTCCTGTGAGGGTGGCAGAGCCCTGGCAGAGGCTGCCCAGGGAGGTGGTGGAGTCTCCTTCTCTGGAGACATTCAAACCCCACCTGGACACTTTCCTGTGGGACCTGCTTTGGGTGGACCTGCTCTGGCAGGGGGTTGGAGGAGATGAGGAGATGATCTCCAGAGGTCCCTTCCAACCCCAGATCATTCTGTGATCTGCAGACTTGTTTCTTTTATTTTCCCCGTGGGCTGTTGTATCTGACCAGTGATTGAAATGGTTCGACAGGAATGGACAGTGTTGGTGCAGGAGTGTGTTCACATCAGAGCCAGAATTTCTGGTGTGGCCTGGACTCTGCAGGGCTGCGTAGGTTTTAAGTTGAGCAAAAGCTCGGTCTATGTACAGATAAGTTTTAGAAACTTTAACAGATTTTTTGTCTAACATGTTCTCAGATGCATTTCTGCTTCCTCTCAACCAGCACAAATCAAACAATGAGATTAACTGAATTAGTTAAGGAAATCATGTCAGGCTGAAGTATTTCAGTCTGCTGGGTTGGGTTTTTTTTACCATATTGTAATGTAGGGGCATTTGTGTCCTGTTAAAACCTGATGGTCATCTAGATTAGTTGAGAAATGGTCTTAATTTCTAATTTTTTTTAATTTTTGACGTGTTAGAGCTGGTATTCTAAAATAGTTAAAAGAACTATTCAGTATGTTTTCTGCAGTGCACAGAGGCTTTGAATTTGTGTCATCTAAAACCTGTATTAATTTGAGGAGGAAAAAAAAAATGGTGTTAGGTAAGAGTCGTTGACCTGATAGTTAGACATGGGATTATTTTGTTCAGGTTCCTCTAGTGTAAGACTACAAATATGATGGGCCAATGTATCATTTGACTTAAAAGGTGTTTAATTAGTATAGTGTGCTAAGGGGAAAAGTAGGATGGGCATCTGGTTGGGAGCATCTTGAGATGGAGCAAGGCTTGGTCGGATTAAAGAGTTTATGAGATGGAAAACTTTGGTCAAGTTGGATAAATGTGGGAGGAAGTAGTGGGGTTTGATGTCAGAAGTTGTCTGCTGTTAGGAAATCTTTGTTACAATACACCATGTAGTGCTGGTACTGTGTGTACCAGCTTTGGTTGAAAGGTGTAATGATTTACAAATAATGTGAATGGATGAAAGTTTGCAAGTTTTGATTTGGTTTTAAGAATGTAACAAGTGTTGTTCCAAAAGGTGGTATGACGTTGATCAAATGCCAGAGTAGTTAACGTGTGTGATCTTTCTTTGCTTGCAGTGAAGGTGAACGACCAAGCCAAAATGAAAAAAGAAAAGAGAAAAGTGTCAAAAGAGGAGGAAATCGCTTTGAGCCATATGCTAATCCTGCTAAGAGATACCGAGCTTTTATTACAAATATTCCCTTTGATGTGAAGTGGCAGTCTCTGAAAGACCTGGTCAAAGAGAAAGGTAATGTACAACTCAGGTGGCCAAGTGATGTCTGTCATCTTACTTGTGGCTGACTTTGTTTGTAAACTTAAGACTTGAAGTTCTGGGTGGACCCTAGTGACACCAGTTTTGTAAAAGGTCTGCTTGAAGCCTTTTTTGGGGATTGCACAACACCTGCTCCCTGGCAGCCTTCCAGGTGGATGGTTCCTTCACAGGCATGTTGGCATACAGCTCCTAGTGCTTCATCGGAGATTTAAAAGAGGATTTTTTTTCTTAGGGGGGAAAAAAAAAGAGGCTTTTATCAGATTTTAGCCTTGTCATGCAACAAAACTTTCTCAAGCATTTTAATGTCTTTTGGGTAATAAAGGTAGTGTGTGTATATAGAGCTGTGTCCCCAAACTTTGTAGTGATTTGTGCTTAGGTAAAGATCCATACTGCCATTTGAGAGCAGTGAAATGTATTTAAGGGTGACCTGCAAAAAAGAAAAAATTGGGTTTGTGCTTTGGCATGTGCTGCAACATGGTTAGGGCTTTGGAAATCAGGTTTGTGGTGTTTCCCCCTCCCTACTTCTATTTAACTGTCCCATGTGAATGGGAGCTGGCTTAGTTTGTTGACCATGGCATCTTCTTCATCTGTGGAAGAAGCTGAAGAAATTGAGCAGATTGTCCTCAGGTGGTGACAAGTGTAAATGTAGTGTTATTTCTTTAATAACCTGGCTTAGTAGTTTTCAAGTCACCTTGGAAATGCAGCGGAGTGGCAAGAAAATACTTGGCTTCTCCATCATAAAAAAATCTCAAAAGACGTTAAGAATAATTGATACAACTCTTGTGGGTCACTTCTAAAATACATAGCATCAGTCATAAATGTCTTGCAAAATAGTGATCAGTGTTCACTTGTGTTTGAACTGTTAAAAAAAATCTCAAAACATGTTAAGAATAATTGATACAACTCTTGTGGGTCACTTCTAAAATACATAGCATCAGTCATAAATGTCTTGCAAAATAGTGATCAGTGTTCACTTGTGTTTGAACTGGGTGAGGAATTATAGTCGATGTGTTCATAAGGTGTGGCCTAACGAATGGGAAAACAAATTTCCAAAGGGTTTTAAAATGTTTGTCTTTGGAGGCAAAATGGAACTGAGTCTGCGTAACGAACTTCAGGACTGTAGCCCTGGGAAACTTCCCTAATTAGAGGCTGGGAAACGTTAATGCTTGAGATTAGTAATGGTTTTCTGTAATATGAAGAATTACGGTCTTGAAGACTGATTGAACAGGCTCTAATTAGGAATGATCCCTTGCCTTAAACTATGCTTTCGCTTTGCTACACCAGATAGGTTGGTTAATAGGAGTATCTGTATGTGTAGATGTCTAATTTTAAGCACTGTGTTGAATTCCCTTCCAAGTGTCTTGTGGTTTCTCTCCAGTTCACGTGGATGGAAAAGGCCGGTGTGAGATTGTTTCCTGCCTTGCTGTTCAGCTGCTCATTCCAGCAGATACTCCTAGGGGAACATTGAAACCTCTCCCTTCTGTCTGCAGGGCTTGTTATGCTAAGCACGGAGAAGCCTTGTTCTTGGTTTTTGGGACTGCTTGTTAAACTCCCAACAGTTTAGATTTGCCGTTGAGTTGCGATTCATTCTAATTAGTCACTGACTTCTACCAAATTGGTGCTCTGGTGCTGTGCTTGAACTCGCTCAATCGGTATTTCTCCATACAAGGCATAGTAGTTCCAAGAACCAGGAATGTGACCGTGTGTGGGGGGAAAAAAACAAAACTAAACGTTAGAATTCTTGGTTCGTAAGTGTAAGAATTACAGGCCAAACGGTCAAGGTTTTGGGAGCACGTGAAGCAGATCTGTACCCAAAGGGTAACCATAGGTGTTTCATGGCTGCTCCATCGCTTGGCAGTCGTGAAGACGTGAGCTGGTGGCAGCGCTGGCAGAGCAGGTTCTGGACGTAGGAGGAGTTCACCTCCGTCGGCTGGTTTGCGTCAGTAAGTATGGGTTAGGAGCCACGAGCTTTGGAGGTTCTGCTCGTATTTCTGCACCCTGGTTTTTTCAGACGCGTACATCTCAAGTCTTCTAAAGGTGACATCTCTCTCAAGAGTAATGCCTTGGTTCAGTCATTTCAGTGTATTTGTTGGTGAAGCTCAATTACAGGTATGCAGTATGACGTACTTATTAAAGACATTAAAAAAATGTTCTTGTTTGACACTCCCTTGGATTGGCTGACAAACACAAGGTTCTACTAAACTGATGTAATCAGCATTGATAACTGGCAATTGGTGAATGGCTTCAGGAGAAGATTGAGGCAGCAGTTCTTCAGCATGTAAGTGGAGTCTAAATGTGAACATGATTGAATGCTAAATAGCTGTCTTAATCTGGCCCCCCAACAAATGGCTCTGTCTTCGGGAGAAAAATGGTAATGCTTCATGGCAGCTGGCATAAGTGAGGTGATACCATGTGATAAAAAAGAATTGTATTTGAATTGGAGATATCTATTGGTTCCTTTAGGAAATACAGAATTTTGTATTTGAATTCTTTTTCCTGACTGCAGTACCAAGATGCCATGCAGTAGGAGGAGAAAGATTAGCTGGAGTGTGGGGCAGGCATGCTTGAATCTTCATATGGAAACCTGGATGTGTGAAAAGATGTGAGGAAAAAGAAGCAACAAAGCTTCCCCAGCTTAAATTTTGAAGAAGAGCAGCTGCTAAACTTTGTGCTGCCTTCTTTCTTGCTCCATCTCTGGAAGTTTTGGAACCTTTGTGGCCATCTAAAGATGTAACTCATGCCCTCCTGCTCTTATATTTGATCCCAGATTTTTTACTTTGGTACTAACAGCTGTTATTCCAGTACCTGAAGGCGGGTGTTACTGGAGAGTCCCCTGGGTTACAGTGCCCAAGAGTCTGTCGCTGTGTGCTCTCAGGCCAAAGTTTTAGGTGGGCAAAGAGAAAAGGATGAATAAACAGTTCAACACTTGACTTCCTCCCCCTTAATTCAGTAGATGTGCTAATGAGTTGCTCTGTTTTCATTGGCCTTAACTGCCTTTTCAAAGAGGCACTGCCCATTGGTACATACGAGCTTTTTCACTTCATCTTCCCTGCCTGGACTCTTGGAGTCAAAATAACCCATTATTTTTTTTCTGGGTTCCCTAGTGCAAAAGTGAGAATTCCCTTCCCCTACTGTAAAAGAATAGCTTGTGAGCTCTTCTCTGTCTCTGCTTTGGGAAGAATGCTTGTCTTCTCCCCTTTTTACAACAGCTTTGTACGTGTATAAAGTGTGTTTCTCTTCTCCCCAGCTCAAGCCTCCCATGTAACTTCTTAGAGGTTGCCTGTTCTGAGCTTTAAACACTTAAATGAAAGAGGAGCTGTGATTAATTCTGAATTGCCTCACATTGAAAGTACAAAGCTTTCGATGGCAGGGTCCTCTTGAATCAGTCACATTGCTTGTAATTCTTTACTTCAGAAGATGATGGGACATCTGTCTCGCTTTGATAATGTCCAGAGGCTTCCTGCTGTATTTAGTATTTAGTTTTGACCCCCGAGGCCAAAGAAATCACTGTGATATAGAGCATTTACCTCTTTCTTTTTTTTTTTTTCAGTTTCTGTGCTTCTGCTCTTGCTGAGACTTGCCCCTCTGCACCTGTTTCAGTTTCTGTGCTTTTGCTCTTGCTGAGACTTGCCCCTCTGCACCTTTTGTGCCTTTCAGAGCTTCTTGACTTGTTGCTACCTATTAAAATCATATTGCTCAACTTTATAATCTTCAAAGTTGATGTGTATGTTTGAGCTGGTTATCCCAGTTACTTCCCAGATGTGTCTTTAGGGCTGGGTGAATCCATCCAAGCCATGCCTCGATTTATTTACTGCATGGATGTGCTTATCTGAGCTTCCTGAAGGGTCATTGGGGAGCACCTGAGTGCTGAGAGCCCAACCTGGCTTCAACATCTTAATTGGGGTGGGGGCGAAGGAATGACTGTAATAAGTAATGTTGGAGAATCCTTTGGCTTCTATTTTTGGTTATTGCAGTGATTTCTGCCTCAGTCTCACTTTAGGAGATGCTGAGCTTCTGAACTCTCTCAAGTGTGAAGTTTAAAAAGATAAATAAATCCGTCTGCTCTAAGTTGAGTCTTAAAGACACCACGGGGAATTTGTTTCTTAATTATCCTTCCCTTGACTTAGAGCTAGGGTTTTCTGGAAATCTTATCTCCCTTCAGAGGCTGACCTGGTAATAAACTTGAGTTCCTTAACTAACAGTCTCTTGTGCTTAAAAGAAATTTCTTCACTCGTGGGTAGAAGAGATGTTTCCTGAAAAAAGCCAACTGTTCTTTAGCAGAAAGAAAACCTGCTGGGATCGTTGTGCATTTCTTTTGCCCTCTGAAGCAGGTTTAGTCCGTGGATACTTGCTGTCAGTACTTTTCTGTGGCTTAATGGCCTGTGTGCTGTTGTAGCCCCCCCCTTGTCTGCTATTTAGCTTCTTCCCAGATGTTCTGAGACACTGTGGCTTGGGGTCTAGAAAAAAGCCAAATAAAATGTTACCCAGAATAAGTTCTTAAAAAAAATTTCCTTTGCCAGCCTCAAACAGTAGTTTCCTGGAAGAAGTGTCGTGTTGAATCCTTCTACATCTTTTTCAAGTGGGAAAAAAAAATAATGCATTTTTAGTGCAGTTGTTTTGTGCTCTGGACTTGGTGTCTCCTGGATACTGAGCTGTTACACTATTTGTGTTGTTCCTCTTCCACCCTGCTGTTTTTTTGAATTTGGCTCTTCAGGAAGTTCAGATGTCCTTTGAAGGAAAACAGGTATTTCAAGATGTATATTTAGTTATTTATAAAGGTGTTTATAAGGCTTGAATGTGAAGCCCTGAGCAAAATTGGCACATTATAGATTTTCCAAGTGACAAACAATTGCTGGTGTGATGGACTCCCGGAAATCTTGTGGTTCAGAGATTTGTTAAAAGAGTAACTGTTAAATGGTTTTCAATACGTTATGTTCAAGCTTGGCAAACTTCTTTGGAAGTGTTTGTGTGGATCTGAAGTAAGAATTGTAGCTGAATTCGATCAGTGGTTGGGAGAGGAGAGAGCCCCCGACCCAGGGGCTCGTTAGTGTTATTAGGAGCAAAGTCACAGACTAATCTGGGACTTCTGGGTGAAACGGAGTGGTTTGGTATCGTAGGTAACCTGGGAATGTGTTGTCTTACTCCTAAATTGTTGAATCACATTTGCATTCTTGATCAAAGCTTGGTTGGACTCTGGCTGCTGCTGTTGAGATGGATGGCTTCAGAATGGCTTGGTAATGCTCAATATTTGGACTCAAGTGCATGGCCACCGTCTGCCACCAAGGACTAGTCCAGGAGGGGTGTTTACAGTGCGGCCCCTTTCACTGTGGAAACAATTCCATGCACTACATGATCTCATACTGTTCAGGTTATAGGATGGAATTGATTTTTTAGGCTTTATATCAAGAAATATTGTTTAGATGGTGAAGCTGTGTGTAGTAATTGAACACACTGATCTGCCTTGTCCCTTTCAAAGGGACTTTTAACCCTCTACCAGCCTCAAACACTATCCTCATAAAAACCTGAATACATCAGAGTTTATTCTGTCTTAGTAAGTGTTCTTTGGCTGGAATGCTCATATCGCTAAATTATTCTTTTAAATAAGATATGGTGATTTAAAACAAAAAAAAGGCAGTGATTTCATTAAGCATTCCTTTGCTTATAACTTTGAGAGAGACCTTTCAGGATGTTTTAATGATACTAGATGTCCTATCAATGACTGGTCCTGTGGGAGGTCAGGCTGAACACCTCTTCTTCTCTGTCCCTTGCCAAGAGGTAGACTCTGGAGTGTGAGACTCCAGTTCTGGCTCAAAGGTGTGCCATCAGCATCTTAAGCTTAAAAACGGTGACTTCTAAAACTTGAAAAAAAGTAAAAAAAAAAAAACAACCCCTTTTATTTGATGATTCTTCTGTATGCCAGTCACTTCAAAGGCAGCAGCCATTTCGGTAGTGGTATTCTGGAGGTACACGATATGGTTATGTGGTCTTGAAAGGCAATCCTAATCTTGTGAGGAAAGGTGCAGATGTTTTCCAGTGTGTTTTGCCTTTTACTGGTTTTTTGTCTCGAGGGCAAACATGGCAGACTATTTAATACTACTTACAGAAGCTTAAAAAATGGACTTTATTTTATTGTGGCTTAACAAACAGCTAAAAACCGTCTTGAGGGCAAACGTGGCAGACTATTTAATACTACTTATAGAAGCTTAAAAAATGGACTTTATTGTGGCTTAACAAACAGCTAAAAACCTGCTGAAATAAATCACAGGCGGTCGATGATCTCTTGCTCTCTTGGTTCAGTCTGCCTCCCCTTTTGGAAGTTTCTGTTTAAATCCAGAGAAAAGCAAATAACTATTCAAGTTGTGGACTTTGGAGACAAGATTGAAGGGAAGGAAACTTGTTCTTGCAGACTTTCCCATGGGTTTGGATTGCCTCAAGTAACGAGTGGGTACTAAAGATCAAGGAAACTGATATTGTGGAAATAGCTGGCTTTTGAAGCGGAGGAAAATCAAGAACGTGTTTAACTCTTTTTAAAACTTTACTGCATACCTGTAATTGTCCAGTTTTGTGGTCTAGAGAACATGGAGTGTTTCTGGGCTTTCTTATAAGGCAGAGGCTCCATACACGGTTGTTGATTGTTCTAAATTCCCATTGTTTTCTTGGCTTTTCTCCCTTGGTATATGTGTCGTCTGGAATCTGATTTGTAGTTGGTGAGGTAACATACGTGGAGCTCTTAATGGACGCTGAAGGAAAGTCAAGGGTAAGTGTTTGAGAGATTTCTTCTGTGGATTTTCTACATGACAAATGTAACTGTATGGTGGCGTGGAACGAAATGAAGTCAGGAAGGCAGAGAGCGTGTATGTTTAGCGGCTATAACGTAGGGTGGCTTAGAGCTGGTTTTTAGGGTGGGGAGGAGGTGGGATGGGGCCTCGTAAGCAGCGTTAGGGTGGTCTTCCACTGTGTTCAGTTGGTGTTGGCTGTTTGAATGAGCCCCGGACCCCAGCAGTATGTATAGTGGTATGGAATAGTAAGGTAATCCTTGCGTTTTGGAAAACGTCACCGTAGTGGTTTGCGGAATTTGTAAGGCCAGTGTGCAAAAGCAGGTTCTGTAAACTACACCTCCTGTGCCAGTCAACAGCAGTCAATTCTAAAATGTAAATGTATATTGCCTTCATAGGTACTTAAGTCCTTTAGTCCAGTGTCTTATAGGGAAAAATAAGTCGTAGGTGCACATTAGCTGTACTGAAGGGCATGGATTTAGGGTGAGAGGATACGGCAAGGGTGTCGCTGTACGACAGGGAAGGACAGGTCCCGTGAGGCGTGTGGCATTTCTCTTGGAGAATCGGGCCTTAGTTCTGGTGGTTAGAACTTGTGAAACAGTTTAATCCTGTTAACACATACGAAATTATATCTTATGGATATTGAAGGCTTTATTGAAGTATTGAAGGCTTTATTGGGTAAGATTACATTTATTTTCGCTATTAGGGCTAACTAATGTGATTTGACTTTTTTTAAAAAAAAAGTGTTTTTGTGTGTTTTGTGCTTTTACTTACTTTATTTCTTCTTTCTTCCCTCCTCTCCTTCCTGTTACTCGCCCGTGAAATCGTCTCGTCAGGGATGCGCGTAAGTTCACTTCTGAATTTATAGCAAGAAATAAGGAAACTCTTCAAAAAATAAGCAAATGTTCTTAGATGTCTTGTATCCCCACAGTGTTGTTGAATTCAAGATGGAAGAAAGCATGAAAAAGGCTGCAGAGGTTTTGAACAAGCATAGTCTTGGTGGAAGACCATTGAAAGTGAAAGAAGTAAGACGTGCATCTGTTCTTTCAGTATGTTGAATTTGAAGGTGAAGGGGTAGTTCTTGACTCATTTGCAGATAAGAATAATTTACAAAAGGCAGGACTCAACAGGGTTAAATTAAAAAAAAAAAGACAGGCAACTTTTTTTTTTTTTACCATTCACCATTTAGTGCAGAACTTGAGTTTGAATGTGATTATCAAGACTAAATTTTTACCATCACCATTTAGTGCAGAATTTGAGTTTGAATGTGATTATCAAGACTAAATGTGGTTTAAATACCAGGTGCTGGTGGCAACAATGCAGAGCTTGGACAAAGCAAGAGTTTGGCTTTAACTGCAGGTGTAGTTTCTTGTTTAGTGATTTGAAGGAGAAACCTGCATAAGCATTGCTTGTTCTTGACTGCCTTCCCTTTTTAATTCTGCATCGTGATGAATGTTTTCTACTAACAATTCCATAGAGTAAGCTGGCTTCTGAAATACTACAAAGGTTTATTTCCATTTTAATGGCTTTGGTATTGTCAACCAGTGCGACATGCGTTGAAGGTTCAATTAAATAAATCAAATAAATAAAAAGGGACTGACTTTAGCACTGATTCTTCACCTTAGGGTACGTGAGCTGTGTCCTTGGCTAAGTGGGCTTGGTGCTCTGCCCATGTAATGGTGAGGAGTAAAGGACATTTTGGCTAAGTGGGCTTGGTGCTCTGTCGTGCCCTGCCCATGTAATGGTGAGGAGTAAAGGACATTTGTGTGAGTGTGAGACAGGAAATGTGTGCAGAAGCTCTGCCCTCTGCAACCCGCTCCTTGCTGTGGTCTGAGGAGTGTTTGGGAAGAAGGATGGGGACAGCACTTCTTAAACCTCACAGAGCAATGAGTTCTTGGAGCAGCAGCCTGCTCCTGGGCACGAGCCATCTTCTGGCACTGTTGACCTCTCGCTGCCCGTTAAAGGAAGGAAGAGGTGAAGTGGAAGATTAGAAAAGCTTAGTTGTACCTGGGCTTCACCAGTTAGTGGCTTCTCTAGGGGGAACCTTGGAAGAAAACCCTAGTGACATTTCTGGGTTGGTTTTCCTGTTAATGATTGATACACCATTAGTACTGGAAGTCAGATTGCCCTTTGGTACCAGTCCATGAGAATAAGTGGTTGTAATTTGCCCAACTCTTCATGAAACTGTTGTCACAGAATATTTCTGCCCGTGTGACAGAACAGAAGCGATACTTAAATCGATGAAGAAGCATTTTACCAGTATTAGGGGCTTTAGCCACTTACCCCAGCCAAGAGCCCCAGTTTGACTGTGTGGCATGAATTAAGTTCTGGTGGATGACCATCAGCATCAGTTTTGCCAACTGGCTGGCACATACCTCTCCTTGGTGGCTGTGTCACTGCAGGGGAGCATGAAGGCCTTCCAGTGCCATCATAAACATAGCAGAATAGATAAAGCTCTTTGCCTGATGAGAAGGCTTTAGTTTGTATGACAACCACCCCTGGCTGTCTATTGGAGCTCATCTTGTTTTAAGCAATACATTATTTTAATAGTGAAATAAGAAATTTAATTCACTTTAATGTGTTCTCCACCTCAGACTACTCTGATTTTCTGTAGCTGAAATAATCATGTGAAAGCTACCTTTCTCCTGTTTTCAAAATATCCTATTGTTTAGTCTGAAAATTCAGATCAAGATTCAAATTAATTCAAATAGCTTTTATTTTTAAAACATCTGCATTTCTGATGAATTAATTCTATTTGACATTTCACTTTCTTCAGCAGTTGTGCAGTGCTGGTGCATTTTGCTCACTGAATACAGACATTTCCAACTGAAGTCACATAAATTCACCTTGTGTCGTGAAGGTGCTCGCCTTCGCTTTCAGTATAAAGTGAAGTGACAAGAATTAATCTTATTTACTTCCTTGAATTCTTCATCCTATGCTTCATGTTCTCTAGCATGAGAGATTATGTAGTAATAGGGGGATACATTAAAAGAGTTTTTTTGGGGGTTAGAAAGCTGGTGTGGGGGTAGAAGAAGAAAAAAAAGTACTACCCAAAGCAATCTTCTTGAAATATTATATAGTTTATCTTGTATTGTAAAGAAATCCAAGTGCAAGGTAAAGGAATTGGTGCGTTGTTTTGAAGATGCCAAGAGTTAGCTGGCATTTGTCTTCCCAGACCTCTCCAGTGCTATTCTGGGTTTATCTGTTCTAATTGGTATTGAATCCCTTTCAGAATCAGGGGAAATGCATGAGTCGGAATAACTTGAAGGGTGTTGGCATATTGGTTAAATGACAATAAATTAGGGGATGGCAATGGTATGTGAAGTAGTTGGCTGGAAATCTGTAGGGAGCAGACAGCCCTGTGGAAAGGGAAATCCCTCCTCCTTATGACTGTTGAAGTTGTATCACTAAATCCCCACAAGGGAACCGAGCATGTTGTTTCTGTGTTTGCAGGATCCTGACGGCGAACACGCCAGGAGAGCGATGCAGAAGGTCATGGCAGCAGCTGGTGGAATGGGTATTGGTCCAGGCCCGGGCGGCCCTGGCATGATCAATATCCCACCCAGCATCCTCAACAATCCCAACATACCCAACGAGATCATTCATGCCCTACAGGCAGGGAGGCTTGGGAGCACTGTCTTTGTTGCTAATGTAAGTGCTGTGCTGTGTGATCTGTGCACAGAATATCTGTCTTAACTGAGTTAAATCTAACGACTTAGAAGAAAAGCCTTAGACTTTCAGCTCTTCCAATGAAATGGAATTATTCTGTGGCCAGTCTTGTTGATTCTCTGTGCTAGTGAAGTTGTCAATGAAGATGTATCCTATATAGAGTCATAGAATGGTCCAGGTTGAAAAGGACCTTTAAGATCAACTAGTCCAACCATCAACCTAACTCTGATGAAAAACCATCACTAAACCATGTCTCTAAACACTATGTCTACCCATCTTTTAAATCCCTCCAGGGATGGTGCCTCAACCACTTCCCTGGGCAGCCCATTCCAAGGCTTAATAATCCTTTCAGTGTCAAAATTGTTCCTAATATCCAATCTGAACCTCCCCTGGTGCAACTTGAGGCCATTTCTTCTTGTACTATCACCTGTGACTTGGGAGAAGAGACTGCCTCGCTACACCCTCCTTTCAGGGAGTTGGAGAGAGCGAGAAGGTCTCCCTTCAGCCTCCTTTTCTCCAGGCTGAACACCCCCAGCTCCCTCAGCTGCTCCTCATAAGACTCTCCAGACCCCAGCTCCGTTGTGTTACGTATTTTTGAGTAAAAACAAGAACATCATATTAAGCTCTGTAGCATTCTTTATGCTATTTCAATTTTATCCTATCTTCATGAAGACCCTTCGTTTCTTAAGATTGCCGATATCAGGAAAGGAAATGTAAGAACTTTCTCATACTTCCAATATGGCTTGTCTTCCAGTTGGATTACAAAGTTGGTTGGAAGAAGCTGAAAGAAGTCTTCAGCATGGCCGGCGTCGTGGTTCGGGCTGACATATTAGAAGACAAAGATGGCAAAAGTCGTGGGATCGGCACCGTCACTTTCGAGCAAGCTATAGAGGCTGTTCAGGCTATATGTATCCTTGAAGAGTGATGATGGTGAACAGTAGGCAAATGACTTAGTCAAGAAAGCAGGATGAAAATATAAATTGTAATATTGTATGTGAGGATATTGCCATGTCACACTAAGTCAAACCGTTGCGGTGGACAGAAAATGTAAGGAAAACTGAAAAAGAGGAAAAAGTCCATCTTGAGGAAATTATTGCTGTTTGCTGAGGGTCACTAACAAAGTGGATTCTCTTTCGAAAAGAGGAAAAAGTCCATATTGAGGAAATTATTGCTGTTTGAGGGTCACTAACAAAGTGGATTCTCTTTCCTATGTGGATATATGTGTTTCCAGCCCAAACAGTACATTTCTGTCTCTAGGTTGTAGCTAGTATTAAAATGCAATATCTGAGAAAAGATTTGTCTTAAATTGCTGTGATGGAGGGAAAGGAGGAACCTAACAGATACATCAGCAATGTGAGATGGCTTGACTTAGTGTGTTCCTCTGTTCCCTGTGTCCTTACCCCGTGCAGGCGGTGGTTTGCTGTAAAACCATCCACAAAAACCACAACGAAGTGCAAATCCTGTGTGTGTGATCTCTCAGCATGTGGCTGTGTGTGGAAAGGAGGGAAATACTCTTCCCCCCAAGCTTCTCTTTCTGTTTGAATGTTTAATTGCCTTCTGCACGTGCACCTGGTAAGTTCAGCCCTGTGAGAAGAAGGCTTATATGAATTTTACATGATTCATTAGCATGAAATACTTCAAAATTTGGCTATTTATTGATTTCAAAATGTTCAACTTTTATATGTTTTCTCATGTTGTAAATGCCTAAATTTACTGATGAAACACTTAAATACTTAGGCTGACTTGGAGTCATATTTTGAGCAATCTCTTAATGAACTTAAGGTGAACCACAAGAGTATTTTTTAACTCACATTTTAGGCCACTTTTTGAATATTTGGTTATCTGGATTTCAAAGCCTTTTAATTTTGGAGAAAGCAGAAGGATTTTTGCTAATCTGACTGGTTTTGGACTCTGCATCAGACGGTGCTTTAAACTTTTAAGACTTTGTGATTCTAGCACTTGAACAGTGATCCTTAATGAAACAACAGCGATGTTTAATGGGCAGCTGCTGTATGACAGACCGATGCATGTAAAAATGGTAAGGACATTCAAATCCTCCCTGCTTTTTTGAACTGTGATTGTGCTTCTGATTTTGGATGATGTGGTTTCAGGGTTGGGCAGAAATACTGGGAGGGGGAATGTGGGACTTGCCTAAATTCCTAGTGATGTCAACTCATGCCATCGGGGAAGGTTAATTCTGATTTTGCTAAAAAACAATCATAAATACAGTGAAGATTCTTTTTATTTAAAACACAGAAACTTAAACTAAAGCAAAGGCAAGAAATAATTTCTTACTTTTCTTGCAAACTTTAATATATTGAATTGTTTTTAGGATGAACGAGCCTTTCCCAAAGGAGACTTCTTCCCTCCAGAGCGACCCCAACAGCTCCCTCGTAAGTCTCTCCTGCATGACTGAAAATGTTATGTATTTTTTTATTTTGCTGTTCAGCAACTGGGACCCAATCCCAGCCCCAATAAAACTGGTTCATATTTGGAAAGCTGGGATCCAAATGGCCTGAGCAATATCAAAGAGGGAAATAGTAAACAAGATCTGCTCAGTCTTATATATATTTTTGGGGGAGGGGTATTTTTTTTCAGCTCATAGCTAGGAGCTTGTCTATGAACATTATGCCATTTGTGTTCTCAAGGCTTCCACATCTCTCAATTGCAATTCAAAGACTTGATGCCTTGTAAAATTACTGTTAATAGTGGGATTTAATGGCAACATAATTAATCAGTCAAGATGGAAAAGCGTGCCTCCTTTTACCCAATGGTATTCTGGGTATCTAATATTTTTTTTCTTAAATTGGAAGGGCTGAATTGAGGACCTGAGACTCTTCCAGGCCCTCAGGTTTCTAAAGGGGATCTTATTGATGTATATAACAGTACACAGAAACTGAAACAAGGGAGACTCCAGCTCAATATAAAGAAACAAATTACTGGGAGGGTGGATGGCTACTGGAACAACAGGTTGCCTACAGAGGCTGTGGAGTCTCCATCCGTGGAGATACTCAAAAGCCCTCGGGATATGGATCCTGGGCAACCAGCTCTCAATGGCCCTGCTTGAGCCTGGGACTGGAGCAGATGATCTCCAGAGATCCCTTCCAACCTCAGCTGTGCTGTGATGACATCCTGAAAGTAGTGAATGAGACTGGGTTGAAAGGGAAGAGCTGGAGGTGGGAGAACACAGGCTTAATTTGTTTAAATCTAGCAAAAATGTAAAGTGTAGCAGTTAATGTAACTGCCTTAATTCATCCAGTCACTGTTTCCTTAGAAGTGGGAACCAAACCATTGGAACCAAATTGTGCTGCCAACTTGCACAATTTTAGTGGCTGACAATCAATCCATCCCTTAATTAGTTCAGTTTTCTGTGTATCTGTCAAAGCCTTATTCCACAGCAATATAATTCCTGGGGTTTATTGCTGCCTTGACTTTCTCTAGTGGCACGCTTCTTTTTCAAGAGAAAGTCATTGGGTTCCAGTTTAATTATTTTTATATAAAACTCGACGAATACCAATGGAAGCCTGTTTCTTGGCCTTTATTGGGGCAGGGAAGGGGTATCTTGTGTTGCTTTCAAATAAGGTTCAACACTTGCTGTGTTTATTGTGCTGAGCTGTAAATGAGGAAGTCCTCTTCTCATAGGCAAAGAATGCCATTAAGCTGTTGTTTGATGCAAGCAAAAGCAGAGAACTCTTTTTTTTTCTTTTTTTTTTTTTTTCTCCTTCCTGATTGACTATAAGGAAAACACAAGGGCTTTTTCTTCTTTCTTTGGACTGGGGATTCCTTAATTCATTTGGGTACAGGAAGATGCAAAATTATGCCTGGGAATGATATATTTTTGTTTGCTCAGAGAAGAGGCTGGCTGTGTGCTCTGAATTCTATAGGTGGCTATCATAATGATAGGTTGAACTTTGTGGTTAAATTCTTACCTCCAAGGAAGGAACCTTGGCAAAGGTGGAAATAAGCCATTTGTCAATCAAGGGTAATATTGTGCAAAGGTTAGAAGATCTTTAATACTAAATTGCCCACTCTATTCTCCTTAGTTTGAGGAGTTGCACAAAACAAGCAGTGTTCTAGCCAGTTATTTTTCAGGAGTCAGCTTAAAACCAACCAACCAAACAAGTTTTCTCAGTAGTAAGATGGAAAATGGATTATGAGGAAAAAAAATAATATTTGAGAGAGTTTTTAGTATATTTCAAAACACATCAACTCTGAATTTACTATACATTTTCATGCTTTAAGTACACACCCCAAAGTGGGAACACAGCAAGCTTTTTGGAGAATGGAAGTCAATTACTTAAGAATAAAACTTGCTGTTTTGTCAAACTATGGAAAGAAGGCTTTTTTGATATCTGAATATTTTCTTCAGATGGTCTTGGTGGTATTGGCATGGGATTAGGACCTGGAGGTCAACCTATTGATGCAAATCATTTAAACAAAGGCATGGGAATGGGCAACATGGGACCTGGAGGTAAGAAGATTACTCCTATGCTTTTGTTTCATGAGAGCTTTAAGCTGTGTAGAAGGTAGATAGCTTTGTTCTGCCTACACAAAAAAGTTGAAGTGTATTAGGAGTGTTAAAGCCAAATGAGTTTTTGTTGAGCAAAGTAATGAGCTTGATAATGGAAACTTGAATTTAACCAACTACTCCATTTTTTTTTTCACTGTGGTCAAGGCACAGCTCTCATTTTCTGACTCTTGAGCATGAGCAGCAGACACTGCAAATATACATTAAACTTTTAAAACCATCTGTCACTTTTAACACTTATTAGTGGGCTTGCAAATCTTTGTTTAGGACATGTTTAAATAGCACAAGTTTTAAAGAGCCACCTAAAAAGTAGCACACATTCAGCTTTCAATTTATAAATGCCTATGGGTTTTTCCCCTTTGCTGCTTCATTTTCTAGAAGGAATGTTGCGATCTCCTCAGAGTTATCACATGTAAGCTCTTCAAACAGTGGACACGTTGTATGGTCTCTATTTCTACAGCCAATCTAATGGCTGAACTCTTGTAGAATTACACCTGCTACATAAAGCTTTCTCTTTTATTTTGAGGAATGGGAATGGAAGGCATGGGCTTTGGAATGAATAAAATGGGAGGTAAGCTGTGGTTTTTTGACATGTATATAGCTTGGGCTTTCTGAAAGTCATGTAAACTTAGCCATGTATGCTTGGCAGGCATTTATGTTCTTTAAAACCATCAAATTAGTAATAACTTATTCCTTTTTGGGTATTAATAAAACTACTGTAGGTGTATGGGAAGGGGTTAATACCTTAGATAAAACATGACCAATGTTTGTTGTGGGTCTTATTGAAACTGCTCCTTGGTTTAGGAGATATTCTGTGGCCAAATTCTGAGCAAATTGTTTTGTGGATCTGTGATAGAGAGTTGCCTTGATGCCTGTGGAAATGGTCTGTGAGAGTGGCTGATGTGGGTGAAGTGCAGTGTGAAGTTGAAATGTATTGCTAAAGAATTCCTGAAAAATGTTTTCTTTTAGGAATGGAAGGTCCTTTTGGCGGCATGGAAAACATCGGTCGCTTCCCAGCTGGGATGAACATGGGCAGAATGAGCGGTAGGTGCTTCTTGTTTTTTATATATTTTTATTATATTTCTATATATTTATATATAAATATATATATATTTTTATATATTCAACTCCTGACTTGTGTTCTCTGAAAGTGTAACTCTGGAGAGACTCTCTAGACTTGTAAGAGAGCTACCAAGGAGGGTCTAGAGAACAAGTCCTACGGGGGGAGGCTGAGGGAACTGGGCATGTTTAGTTTGGAGAAGAGGAGGCTGAGGGGAGACCTCATTGCCCTCTACAGCTCCTTGAAAGGAAGTTGTAGAGAAGTGGGTGTTGGCCTCTTCTCCCAAGGGAATAATGACAGGAGCAGAGGAAATGGTCTGAAGTTGTGGCAGGGGAGGTTTAGATTAGATATTAGGAAGAATCACTTTACTGAAAGAGTGCTCAGGCACTGGAACAGCCTGCCCAGGGAGGTGGTGGAGTCACCATCCTTAAGAAGTGTGTAGACATGGCTCTTCTGGACATGCTCTAGGGCCTGAGATTGTGGGGGTCTTCTGTGTGGGTATGGCTGGACTCGTTGATCTCAGAGGTCCCTTTCAACCATGAAGATTCTGTGATTCTGTAATTTCCCTCTCCTCAGTTTTTATTGGTAAAACTTAAAAGCTTAGAGCTGACACGGTGGCCACAAGTCACTCGTGGCCTCTGAGCTGCAGAAAATAAGTGATGTGTTGAGGTTGTCTTGGAGGACTCATTTAGAAGGAGATAAACTGTGCTCTATCCGTGTTCACCAGTAAGACTTCTCCAGGGCAAAGTGGTGCCTAAAATACGTTGGTCCATATTGAGAGGAGTCCTTCTTTTTCCTGGGGTATCTTTTTTTTGGTCTTAAAAAGATAAGGAGAATGTAATACAGAACTTGCCTTGCTGTTAGTGCTTTAAAGTGATCACTGTATTAAATTGTTCTTTTGGGACTTATTTAGACGTCATGAAGAAAAGATCAAACCTAACATTTTCAGAGATGGATCGTGCCATGGGTGGAGGATTTGAAAGAGAATTTGGAAGAAATGAAATGGGAATGTCTCGTAGTTTTGGAGAGACTTTGGAGAGAGGAATAGGTAAATAACACTAAGTACTCTTACTACCTGCTTTTCACACCTGAACTGTACATAAAAATTATGTTTTGTTATAGCAAAACAGGTGATATTTTATACATATATTTGCTTTAATACTTTGGTTTTGATTAGACTCCTAAGAGCTGTACAGAAGTTTTGAGGGATATAATAAATAAATAAGCAATAGTATGCATTGAGACACTTCTCAAAAAAGATTAGTAGAAGACTAAAGATAATTTTTTTAGACTGTCAGCTTCTTTGGCAGTTGTCCATTTTTGAAATGTTACTGGTAAGATACTACAATTTTTTTTCAGTGAAAACAAAGTCCTGCTCCTTCTCTTTGCCTGTATAACATTTAGCTTCCTAGCAAGTTGGGGAAATATTGGAATATTTCCACAACGAAGTACTCAAAACTACAGACTTTTTGCAGCAAAGCTGAACCTAAATGTCTCAAAGTAGGCAGACCTCCCTCCCTTCCCAGTTTACAGAATTGATTTTGTTTGCTTCCTGACTAAATCACAACATTTAATAAGCAAGAGTTAGCTCTGCCTGCGTGGGATTAACCCTTTTCTGGAAGACTCCTAAAAAAAAAAATGCACAAACCTGCTAGCTTTCAGCTGAAGAAACACCAAATGTTTATTGCTGTTTTTTCTTCATTTAAAATAATTAAAAAAAAAAAGCCAACTTGCTTGTGCAAGTATAAATGTCGTATAATCTAAACCCATTCTGTGTTATTTAAGGTACTACTGAAACTTGAAATACTGAAGCAGGACGAGAGCTGTTTGTAAATGTCATTGCTTCAGTTTTCTTGAGCATAGGCTTGACTTAGGGCTATATATCTTGTTTCTCTTCATTAAGTATACATAAATAATTGAAATATAGGCTTCCTTCAAGGCTTTCCCCCCCTCAGATAGGTATTAAATTCAATATTTTTTTTTCTACAGGGCTGCAGTGCTAAATTTGATTTGACAGATAAGCTAAGATCTTTCACATAACAGCAAAATGTCCTAAACTGTTCCTTTTTATGGGAACTAGAAGTCCCTGTCACAGAGTCAGGACAACTCAGCCAAGGGATTATGAGAAGCAAATATAGAAACCCTCTTCTTACTTGTGTTTTATGGCACAGGCAACCTTTTTGTATTTCTTTCCATGTTAAAAGGCCAAGCGTGTGTTGTGACTTTATCAGGGCCATTCTGCTGTGCTGCTCAGGTGGAATTTGTATCCTTTTCTTGGAGATCTGGCAATAAGAAAGCTCTTAGGTTTGGGAAGCTTTTCTTACAAAAGTCTTTCCCTGGCTTGGCAGAAGCAATCTGAGTTGTGAGGTGAGGATGATGTGACTTCAGTCCTCTTCCAAGCAATCTGGATTTGAGCTGCAATTTCAGTTACTAAATTATTATTACTATTATTGCAATGTAATCCCCAGCGTACTGCACAGGACAGCCAGCAGCTAAGATTATATTTAAAATACTACTTTTATTACCACCTAATCTGCCCCTGGGCTTCAGTATGCCTTCAAAATTTTCTCCTCTGTTTATTTTGGAAGGCTTTATTTGCGTGTACGGAAGTTAAGCTCCTTAGTGAAGGGATAAACGTTTCTCCATCCCAACTTTAGTATGTGGTTGGAGATGAGCAGTCCCCTGAATCATGTGTTGTAGTCCTGATCATCTGTGTAATCGCAGAATCACAGAATTGTAGGGGTTGGCAGGGCCCTCTGGAGATCATCTCCCCCAACCCCCTGCCAGAGCAGGTCCCACAGGAATGTGTCCAGGTGGGGTTTGAATGTCTCCAGAGAAGGAGACCCCACCACCTCTCTGGGCAGCCTCTTCCAGGGCTCTGCCACCCTCACAGGAAAGAAGTTCCTCCTCAGGTTTAGGTGGAACTTCTTATATTCAAGTTTGTGCCCATTTCCTCTTGTCCTGTCCCTGGGCACCACTGAAAAAAGCCTGGCCCCATCCTCCTGACCCCCACCCTTTAAGTATTTATGGGTGTTGATCAGATCCCCCCTCAGCCTTCTCTTCTCCAGACTAAAAAGCCCCAAGTCCCTCAGCCTTTCCTCATAAGGGAGATGCTCCAGACCCCTCATCATCTTCGTAGCCCTCTACTGTCCCCTGTCCAGCAGTTCCCTGTCCTTCTGGAACTGGGGAGCCCAGAACTGGTCCCAGTGCTCCAGATGGGGCAGATGGGGATGATGGTCTCCCTCCACCTGCTGGCCACGCTCTTCTTGATGCACCCCAGGATGGCCCTCTTGGCTGCAGGGGCACATCAATTCTTTTTAGTATCTGAAATAAAAACTTTCCTTCATATTCTATGGGGATGATGGTCTCCCTCCACCTGCTGGCCACGCTCTTCTTGGTATGATAGTCTCCCTCCATCTGCTGGCCATGCTCTTCTTGATGCACTCCAGGATGGCCCTCTTGGCCGCAGGGGCACATCAACTCTTTTTAGTATCTGAAATAAAAACTTTCCTTCATATTCTACAGCAGCAAAGCACACAGTGTGCAGTTGCTTTTCTGAATGATGATAAAGTTCAAAGCATTTAAGTCATGAAAGCATGAATTAGGGTTTTTTTCATGGTCGCTGTATGATTCCTGATAATCTCTGTGTTGTGTTGCAGGTGGTGGAAATGCCAGCATTCCTGGGATTGAGAGGATGGCACCTGGCATTGATCGTATGGGCTCGGGAATAGAAAGAATACCCTCTGGGATGGGACACGGGATGGAAAGAGTAGGGTCAGAAATAGACAGGATGGGGCTTGTTTTGGATCGGATGAGCTCCAACGTGGAGAGAATGGGGTCAGGGATCGATCGAATGGCCCCTCTGGGCATAGATCACATCGCTCCTAACATCGAGAGGATGGGCCCCGCTATCGAGAGGATGGGCTCTGGCATTGAGAGGATGGGCTCTGGCATAGGCTTCGGTATCGAGAGGATGGGCGCCGCCATCGACCGCGTCGGCACCACCATGGACAGGATGGGGTCAGGTGTAGAACGTATGGGCTCTGGCATGGAGAGGATGGGGATAGGGATGGAGAGGATGGTCCCTGCTGGAATGGGAACTGGAATGGGGCAGGTGATAGAGAGGATGCCAGCTGGTTTGGATCGTATAGGTGCCACCCCTATGGAAAGGATAGGGATAGATCGTATGGGCGCTGCTGGCATGGAGAGGATGGGCTTGGAGCGCATCGGAGCCACTAATATGGAGAGAATGGGTCCTGCTATGGGGCAGGGCATGGGAGCAGGCATAGATCGAATGGGACTTGCAATGGGAAGCAATTTTGAAAGAACGATGGACATGGAACGTGGAAACTTTGCAGGCAATTTTGCAGGCTCCCTTGGAGGAACTGGAGGACCTGCAGCTGGGGTGGCCAGAAAAGCCTGTCAGATATTTGTGAGAAACGTGAGTAGCCTTCTTCCTCCCTCCCCTTCCTCCTGAAATTAATCGGTACTGATGTGGTGATCTCATCTGTGCTCGATGGACTTACTCAGAATATCTAATATTGGGAAATATTAGGTGCTGCCAAAGGTGGAGTGAGTTAGAATCATAGAATTGCCCAGGCCAGAAGGGACCTCCAAGGGTCATCTAGTCCGACCCCCCCGCAGTCAGCAGGGACACCCCCAACTAGACCAGGTTGCCCAGGGCCGCCTCCAGCCTCGCCTTGAATATCTCCAGGGAAGGGGCCTCAACCCCCTCCCTGGGCAACCTGTTCCAGTGCTCCACCACCCTCACAGTGAAGAACCCTCTCCTCATCTCCAATCTAAATCTGCTCCCCTCCAGCTTGAAGCCATTGCCCCTCGTCCTGTCACTGCAGGCCTTTCTAAACAGGTTCTCCCCAGCCTTCCTGTAGGCTCCCTTCAGGTACTGGAAGGCCGCTATTAGGTCTCCCTGGAGCCTCCTCTTCTCCAGGCTGAACAACCCCAGCTCCCTCAGCCTGTCCTTGTAGCAGAGGTGCTCCATCCCCCTGATCATCCTTGTGGCCCTCCTCTGGACCCTCTCCATCAGGTCCATGTCCTTCTTATATTGGCTTATATTATTAGATTGGCTTTTCCTTAACAGGAGAGCTCTCTGCATCTGTAAATGATGCTGCTGAACAGTGGCTGGCCCGGGGTGGAAAATGGGTTCTGAAGAGTTGGCAGTGCTTGTGAGTTCTTCAGCAGATCCCCAGTAATGGTGTGTTCTTCTCTTTTCACAGCTGCCTTTTGATTTTACATGGAAAATGCTGAAAGATAAATTTAATGAATGTGGTAAGTTGCTTTATCACTTGTGATTACCCTGACACTTGAATATGAATTAAACCAGTAACTCTGGATCTGTATGTCCCCGATACAAGTATCTTAACTAAAATTCATTCAGACTTACTGAAATACTAGATCTTGATGTTGAGAAGTGTTGTGAGGATGTTTGCCATCCCTGCTGTACTAGTGAGAGTTCTGTGGTGTTGAAAAGAAATAAATGCCTGGCCATTTGATAACCCAGTTATCAACTGGGTTATACCTGTGGTTTTTCTAAGCTTCTGTTCCCTTCTGCATCTCAGGTGCTGGGTTTATCATGTGGGTAGCCACTCTGGAGATAGGAATAGAGATATGAAAGTGCTGAGAACTGCTGAAAAGCACCTGCAGAGATTCTTTGTAGCTAAATGAACATCATTGTCTGGGAAAACTGTCCTTTTCAGGCTGGATATTAGGAAAAATTTTGTCACTGAAAGGGTTCTCAGCCCTTGGAATGGGCTGCCCAGGGAGGTGGTTGAGGCCCCATCCCTGGAGGTGTTCAAAAGCCGGGTTGATGT